ACAGGTTGTCGGCGGACTTTATATTCTAACTACGTCTATTAGAACTGTTTAGTAATGGCTTAATTAGATACCATGTATTGTGTAAAATTATGACAATATCGAACGTGAATATAAACACTATATGTGACCTAATGTTTGCATTTAATTTGGTGTATAATCAAGTGCCTCCGTGGTCTAGGGGTATGACTCTCGCTTACCATGTGAGAGGTGCCGGGTTCAAATCCCGGTCGATTCTTTTTTTTTTTTCTCGATTTTTTTTTGTGGATTTACTCTATAAATGATAGTATTCAGCATGTGAAATGAAAAACGTTATGATGTCTGGCTTGTACAACCTCATAAAATCATTATAACAGTGTGATAAATATTCTATACAAAAAGAATTTTCTATACACATATTAAAGAATAAGCAATCGAATCTTTATATCCATATTGGCATTTTTTATTTGCTTCAATATACATGTTTACATTTAATAATTCTACAAATCAAGGGGGGGGGGGGTGTCCGACGACCCCCCCTAGAACTGCGCATGCTCTTTTTTCCCCTAAGCGGGGTACACAAATTCTCTGAATTAGCTTGTCGCACTTGTGTTTGCACACCATTTTCTACTGGCTGAATTTTTCGATCTGTGTGAGAAGCTAAATAACTTTCTCACGTAAACTCCACAATTATTTCTAGTTTTCTTCAAAATTGTTGCTTTGATAATATTATAGGCATGTTTTCTTTCTGACTTGGAACTATTTGGCTGTTTAACCTCATCCCTGTTTTCCTTCAGAGATTCAATAAAATTGTCTGCAATCTGAAGTTTTCTTTTGCATTGAGGTGTAACTATCAATCCTTCTGTAGACAAAAATTTTGATGTTGTTGGTGATTGAATCAACTTTTTGAGAACTTCTGCTATTTTCATAGGTTTTTCTGGAAGTGTTGATTTTTTTTCACCTGCCTGCACTTAGCATATCTCGAAGAAGAAGTACTTGGAATGTCGTCTTCCTTTTCTACTGTTTCATCATCGCTTTCTGATTCACTTTCAGCTTCTCTCCTTAATTTCACTCTCTTTTTCAATTCTCGTGTTCTCTTAACAGCTAACTGCTTTTTAAGCTTTTCGTTCACCTTTGAAATGACTTGTTTATCTTGAGTTCCTTGCTTTTTTCTATCATTTTCCTTCTTTTTTTTCTCTCTGTATCGCCTCATTTCTTCAAATTTTTGCTTTCTTAGTTTTTCTAGTTTTGATTTACTTTTCTCTTCTTCCTGCCGTTGTAACGTTCTACTCTTTTTCTTTTTTTCCCGGTCAATTTTCTTTAATTTTTCGCAGACTTGAGGATCAAGTTTTTGTTTTTCTCTCCATTTCCTAATTTTTTCAGCATTTTTTTTCCGGTAAAGAAAAAAAACATGATCTGAAAGAATTCCTGCTCATAAACACTGAAATTAATGATACACTGCTTCAAAAATTTATCTGTAATTTTTTGTGTGGAAAAAAATATATAAAGATATAATTTTTCAGCTTTTGGTTACGGACACTACATACTCTACAAGTTATTTAAATGAGGATAAAACTTACCAACAAGATTTTGTTAAATGTAACACCAGTTGACTTCAACATTGAAAAAAAAAATAACGACATGCTATCTATCTTAATTCCTAGGATGTCAATAGCATCTGCCAATATCAGGTGATGTAACACCAATGATGCTGTATATGAAAATGATTATGATGATATTCATATATACTTTTTTCCCTCTTGACCTTGGATTATGAACTACGTTTGAAAATCTTAAACCTTAGCCATATTTTCTAATGGTTGGTGCTAGGGCTTTCATAATTCTCACAAGTATTCTTTGTGACCAGACCTATTTTTTCGGTAACAATTTTTTTCAACTCTTGACCTTGGAGTTTGGTCTACATTTGAAAAAAAAACTTCAAATTGGTCTTGAGCTGCCACGGGGGGGGGGGGGGGGATCTGTTTTAAAAACACATCTTGTTTTCCTTTTTATTCCTATGTAAATCTTGTTTGCCCATTGTAGTCCAACCTAACCCCCAGGGGTCATGTTTCGAACAAACATAAATCTACACTATGTTATAAAGATCTCTTCTAAGTTTTTAACTCTTCTGTTCTAGTGCTTCTTGGGAGGATTTTTAAAGATTTTTAAAGATTTTTTTCCCTTTAAATTCCAATGTAAAAAGTAGGTCAAACGCCAAGGTCAAGGTCAATGCCAAAATTGTTGGTATCCAAAGGAAAGTCTTGTACCAAGAAATGCACATGTGAAGTATGAAAGCCGTAGCACCAAATGTTTAAAAAGTATGGCAAAGATTAAAGATTTTCAAAAGTAGGTCAAACTCCAAGGTCAAAGTGTCAAAGTTGTTGGTATCCAAAGGAAGGTTCTGTCACAAGGATTACATATGTGAAGTATGAAAGCCCTAGCACCAACCATTCAAAAGTTATGGCCAAGGTTAAAGTTTTTCAAAAATAGGCCAAACTCCCAAGTCAAGGTCAAAGGGTCAAAATGGTAGGTTATCAAAAGGAAGGTCTTGTCAAAAGAAATATACATGTGAAGTTTGAAACTCCAAGCACCACCTGTTCAAAAGTTATGGCCAAGGTTAAAGTTTTTCAAAAGTAGGTCAAACTCCAAAGTCAAGGTCAAAACGTCAAAGTTGTTGGTATCCAAAGGAAGGTTTTGTCACAAGAAATACACAGGTGAAGTTTGAAACCCCTAGCAACAACTGTTCAAAAGTTATGACCAGGGTTAAAGTCTCATAAAATTTTGCAAAAGTTGGTCAAACTCCAAGGTCAAATATGATGGTACACAAAGAAAGGTCTTGTCACAAGGAATACGCATGTGAAATACGAAAGTCGTAGCCTCAACCAATCAAAAGTTTTGGGGAAGGTTAAAGTTTTTGCGGACAAACAGACGGACGGACAGGGCAAAAACTATATACCCCGAATCTTCGATGGGGGCATAAAAATGATATAGACATTATTTTTATTTGGCATAACGAGAGAAGTAAAGAGGAATATACCTGTGAAACATGAAAGCTCTAGCAGCAACTATTGAATAGATATGGAAAAGAAAGTTTTTCAAAAGTAAGTCAAACATCAAGGTCAAATGGCCATAAGTAATGGTGCCGAAGGAAAGGCCTTCTCACAAGAAATACACAGGTGAAATATGAAAGCCGAAACACCAACCGTTCAAAAGTTATAACCAATGTTTAAGTTTTTTCAAAAAGTAGGCCACTCCAACGTCAAGGTCAATGGATTGTTAATATCTAAAGGAAGGTCTTGTCACAAGGAAAAGACATTTTAAATATGAAATCCCTAGCACTAACTGTTCATAAGTTGTGTCCAAGGTTAAAGTTTTCCAAGAATAAGTCAAACGTCAAGGTCAAAGATATTGGTATCCAATGGAAGGTCTTGTCACAAGGATTACACATGTGAAGTATGAAAGCCCTAGCACCAACCGTTCAAAAGTTATGACCAAGGTTATAGTTTTGCAAAACTAGGTCACACACCAAGGTCAAGGGTCAAAGTTGTTAGTATACAAAGGAAGGTCTCGTCACAAGAATTATATATGTGAAGTATGAAAACCCTAGCACCAACCTGTTCAAAAGTTATGACCATGGTTAAAGTTTTTCAAAAGTAGGTCAAACTCCTAGGTCAAGGTCAAAAGGTCCAAGTTGTTGGTATTCAATGGAAGGTCTTGTCGAAAGAATTACACATGTGAAGTATGAAAGCACTAGCATTAATTGTTGAAAAGTTATGCCCAAGGTAAAAGTTGGGTAAAATTTTGTAAAATTTGGTCGACCTCCAAAGTCAAGGTAAAATATGATGGTACTGAAAGAAAGTCTTGTCACAAGGAATACACATGTGAAATATGAAAGCCATAGCTCCAACCAAAAGTTATGGGTAATAATAATAATGTTTTTGCGGACAAACAGACAGACAGGGCAAAAACTATATACCCCCGAATCTTCGATACGAGGACATAAAAATATTGGTACTCAAAGAATGGTTTCACACGTGAAATATGAAAGCCCTAGTACTAATCATTCACAAGTTATAGGCAAGGATAAAGTTTTTGCGGACAGATTAACAGACAAACATACAGAAAGACGGACAACCAGAAGGACGGACCAAAAAACTATATGACCCGATTACGGAGGCATAAAAATCTTAACAATCTTCTGCAGAACACCAATGGCATGAACATTCATATTTATACTGAGTCATCTTCCGGTAGTGTAGATTTAAGTTTGGAGATCAGACTTTTAGATAGGATTATAGAGGAAAAATCTTGAAGAACCACGTGGCCAGAAGAGTTGAAACTCATGTAAGAGTTCATTACGTAATGATTTAAATTTGTTCAAATCATGACCCAAGGGCTAGAGTGGGACCACAATAGACGATCAAAGTTTTTTTTTATAGGAATATAGGAAAAATCCTTCTCAGGAACAGCAATTAAGTTTGAGAAACACTCTACCCTGGGTAGTCAATTTATGACTACCCAGGGTAGAGTGGGGTCACAGTAGAAGTTCTCAGTCTTAGATATGAATATTTAAGGAAAATATCTACTGGGAGTGGTGGTATTTTTTTTCAAAACTAATCTTTATTAATACATTACTATAATTTAACCGCAACTAAAAATGGGGTGGGGTTGAGGTGGGTGGGGGACTAGCCTTTCAATGAACATTTTCAACAGTAAAAAATTATGTTTGGGGAAAAGGGGGCAGGCCCCCTCTGATACTATGTGCCTAAATCCGAAGCCAAGGTCCATAGTGACTCAGGTGAGCAATGTCGCATATGAGCCTCTTTTTATGGTATTGATACATTAAAAAATGAAAGAAAAAATTGAAAGTTTAATGATACGATAATGCATATGCTATTTGTTTCCTCAACTGTCGAAAAATACTCTGGACACTTTAAAATTCTGACATGTGATAAAATTTTGAAAAAGGCAGTATGATTTGATTGCTTTCGGTAATTCTAAACAATTCAAATAAATTTACTTACATTCCATGTTCGGTTCAAACTGACGAATTTTGTCCATTTTGGCACTGCTATCAAGTATTGGCAAGTGGGCTCCCAGAGTTATGCAGTAATTCTGCAAGATTGAATTAAAAATAAATTGCAAATGCAGCGCAATGCAAAGCACACACACACACACACCCTTACACACACGATGATTTTCACAGCAAATAATACATTTATTGCCATTGAACTATTAGGGATCTTTTTCGTGCCATTACCTACTGCGATATGCATGGGACTTGCAGGCATGCTTATGAAGCTATCTTAGGACTAAGACATCTCTTAAGACGAACTTACGACATTCTTAGTCTTAAGTGAGGCCAACGAAGCTAACCTATTCTTAGGAGATTTCCTAATTGTCTGACGTCATGGCGTCAGATTGTCTAGATTTGGCCAAGCCTTTTTGGTCAAGTCGTTCAATAGAATTTTGTGATAACTCGATCTTGGAAACTTCATACTTACTTAACTATCAATTGGAGTGCATGGAGATTAATGGAAACATGCTAAACACCCAAGCAAACAGAACATTGGATCTATTTATTATCACATTATACATTACAAGTTACGTAACATTTGGCCATTTTCGAATGCATCATTTATCATTCATCATTGTATCTCCAGCAAAACAGCAGGAATGAATCTGGTCAGGTCAACACTTGTCGAATATCCTTATCAAATTAACTAATAGATGTTTATTTTCTAGCATACAAAGTCTCTCTACCTTCAGAATTTTTTGAAGTCTATATTGACATATTCCTTACTATGCAGACGTTGGATTTATTCATAGTTTTCAAAAATCCAACTGAAAGAGAGGATGAATATTGTTTTTGCTAATATGCAAAGATGTTAGCTCACTTGTAACAAGTTTATTATTTTAAAAAAAATCATAATTATACAAAATGTTCACCAAATGATGTTTAGATGTTTATGTGTTGTAAGTTTTTCTTTCAAAAGCACCGGTTATATCTAAGTATTCAGGAACAAGCCAGGTGGAAGAAATTTTACGGGGATGGGGTGCACAACCAAGAATTTTCAGTTGGGGGCACTATCAAGAAAAAAAATCCTTATCAAGCAAAAAGAAGTTATCATAGTATTACTTTATTATTTACAGGATTTAGGGACAAGTAAATGTCAGTAGCTATGTTTTCTGTAGCATATTATTTATCGGCAAAATATTTTTTTTTTGGGGGGGGGGGTCCCGAGTCGTCACCATCCTCTCCCCGATTCCAACGGCAATGAAAAAAATACAAGTAATTCTGTGTATATAGAATAAATTCATGTCTGAGTTTTATTTGATGTAGATGCTACTGGACTGATCCGTCTTGTTTCTTAGAAAAATAATTTATTTCTGCACTCAGAGTTATGTTGATTACCCTGGATTTAACATTCCTTCACTTTTTGTATAATAATAAATTTGCTCACGTCAGACAAGCTTTTGAAGAAACCTAATACTTGTCTTAGACCTAACTTTAAGACGACGACGAGTTTATCCTAAGACATATCTGACGTGATTCAAGAAGCTCTGATGCCAGAAAAAAAATAGGAATGATTGAATGCACATTGTTTAATATGTAATTTATCCACTATTTTTTGTAAAATATTAATTTCTTTTATGAATTAAATCAATTTACTTAACATTATGCCGTGTCATTGTTCATGTATATGTAAAGCATGTACCTGAATAGAGGGAAATTGAGAAAGTATTAATTGAAAATCCATTCATTAATTGATGTAGTAAGCTGTAGCAGGAGTAGGTTTACATGACTGTATTTAGGGACAGATGATACCCAAAAAAAAAAAAAAAAATGGATGCCGGGATTGGTATTATTTTTGGACCTACTTTGACTGTAAATGATTAGAAAAATAAATTTCTAAAATGTCAAGAAATTGTAAACTTTCTATGATGTTCAAAATATAACCTTTCTGCAACCATCCTTATAAATCTATTCAACTTTTTGTCATTTTAAATCCTATATTATTGTGAACTTTTGAATAAACAATTAAAATCTATGCGGTAAAACTTATTTATTTTACTTATATATACATGATTTAAGTAGTTATTTTCAAAACTTTTGATAAAAGTTTGTTGTATCATCTGTCCTTAAACGCTTTTGAAATGAATATAAATATATCAGTTATTGATTTGTGTTCTATTTTTGTTTGGAGGGGGTATAGGAGGATGCAGACCCATGCTAATAAGACTCGAGTCTCTCCCTCTCACTCGATCTCTCTCTCTGAATTTACAGACCTATTCACTGACAATTCATGGCATTTCCTCTGATATTTTTCTTTATCGGTTACGACAGTAGGAAAATTATCACTTTGTCAGTAGTTATATCTTTATTAAAATTAATTAAGTACACGTTCAGTATATATTTAATACATGTGTTCTAGACGTACCCGGCGTTTATGATAAAGAAAACAAATTGCAGGAAATATTTAAACCACAAAATGAATGCTGGCACTACACCTCCCTTTCCCAGAGAGAGAGAGAGAAAGAGAGAGAGATTCCTGTTGAACATATGGACAAAAAACTACAAGTATGGTTTGAAAATATCTCTAATTATTAATTTCTCATCGGTTTCAATTTGTGTATGATAACAATGAAATATATAGATTACCTTTTAACTTGTGTATCATCAGACGAGGGGGCTTGTCCCCCGAGTCTAATATCTGAAGATGCAGAAAGTTAAAGGTACATGTACTTTGTATATGTTTTGTATCATTGAACTTCAGAAATTATTGCATTATATACCAATAATTTTGAAACTGTGTTCTAACAAGAAGCACCATGACTAAAATTTAGACCAATCAAAAGTCATTATCGAAATCACAATTTAATCTGACACGGTCGCATATTTAGAGAAAAATCAGCAACATGGACGGTTGCTGGGATTTTTTGCTCTCGTAATTTGCAGAATCCGTAGTAAAACCAAATACATTTCGAAGATTTTGTTTGAGAAGCATGACGCTCGATCTACCGGAACTAAAAAATGAACCCATCATGGATTTCGATATAGAGATGTTTCTGAATATAAAACGAATCCGAATCTGAAAATGAATCTGAAACAAATCTGAATCGGAGGGATCTCGATCCCAATTTGAAAATGGACACATGTATGATAACAGATTTTTTTCCTTGGTGTATCAATCTGTAACCCGTATATAGATAAGGTTTACTGAGTTTGCCCCCCCCCCCCAAAAAAAAACACCACCAAATCCTTGGAGTAATAAGTCTATGAATTAAATCGTATATGGATGTTATATTTGTACCTTACTTGTAGCAATGTGAAAAAAATAAGAGTTTATGAAGAAATCTAGATTTATTTTTTGTTGGGGGCTAGGGAGTGTGTTTGAAATGTCAAGGGTGAACCAGGAATTTTGCTTAGGGCGGGGAGGGGACACTAATAAATTCCCACAGGGAGATAAAAAAAATCACCCTATTTCTCCGACTCGGACATTTTTTTAAAAAAGATTCCAACACTCTCCGGACGTGAAAAAACTTATCTGTGTGTTTGTGTGGGGGAGGGGGGGGGCTTGTCATGCTTCTCCTCGATCAGCTTACGAGGGGTTCGTCCGTGTTTCCAAAGGAGAGGGGTGGGTTGGGGGACGGGGCTGGCAAGTTCATCTTTGCTAACTACGTATATTACATACAATTTAATAACTCTGAAAAATAGGGGCGGGGGCTGGAGTACTTTGACACCTTCCACCGCTTGATCGCTACTGAACGGCCTCTCAGTTCAAGTCGTCGAAAAATAATTGTATGATATCAGGCCCGTAAGAACTGGGGGAGACATGGAGACCACCCCTCCCTTCCTATTAATTTTGCCGTTATATACTACACAATATAATCAGATCAAAATTATCCAAATAACGGTTATGTCCCTCATAAATAAAGTTTGTAGACTTGATTTTTGTTCAGTTGCGCCCCATTCCCGTACTGTAACTGCATCCTATAGATCAGCCATATTACATACAGTGTACTACATGTACATGTAGTAATAAGTGTCTTTTTAATACATACGAAAGCTATCAGTTTTGTATTATTTTTAATTTTATTGTTCAACTCACTAGATATTCCTTCCTTGGGAGAATTGTGTTCTTTGAGATGTGGGAGACAAAATAAACTTGTTTACTATTCATTTTAACAAGCTACATTCTTCGCCAATCAAGGAAATTTTCCGAGAAATGAGAGGAAACGTTTAAACTAAAAACTTGTCGACATCAATTTCGACAAAAAACCTGGCTGCGAGAAAGTGGCTAAGGGATTGCTGAAAATGTTACATTTGTATTTATCCGACATAATTTTCAATTACATATAAATATATAAAATGACTCGTATGTATACATTTACACAGAATATTTTTAAAACGAGAGTCCAGAACAGGATTCTTGCGAGGAAAAAAATAATGTAAGTAGGTGAATAATACAATGATACTTTTACGAGCAGGTTTTTCTGTGAGTTGAGAGGGTACCTGTTCTGTTATTCAGTCTACAGAATTTGACTTGTCCCTTTTATAACACCCACATCCCAATGACAAAAATATAAACATCATCCATTTTTTTTAAATGACATATTAAACATATGTTAGCGTTCACGGTAGTTCAGTCGGTAGAGCGCTCGCTTCGTGATCGGGAGGTCGTGAGTTCGAATCTCGGCCGCGACTGACCTAAGTCGATAAAAAATGGGTAGCAACTGTTCCTTCGCCATGCGCTCGGCACTTTGAAGTGAAAGTTGCGGGTCGTTCTGATGAGACCTTAAAAGTCGAGGCCCCGTGTCACGGCAGGCTTCGGTAGAGCGCTCGCTTCGTGATCGGAAGGTCGTGAGTCTCGGCCGCGACTGACCTACTAGGTCGATAAAAAAAAAAATGGGTAGCAACTGTTCCTTCGCCATGCGCTGGGCACTTGGAAGTGAAAGTTGCGGGTCCTTCTGATGAGACCTTAAAAGCCGAGGCCCCGTGTCACGGCAGGCGTTGGCACGATAAAGATCCCTCACTGCTCAATGGCCTTGAGTGCCGAGTTAAGGTCAAAATGTGAAGCCCTTCACCGGTATAAGGTGACGTCTCTATATGA